ATCTATATCTATATCTATATCTATATCTATATCTATATCTATATCTATATCTATCTGATCTGCTGTTGTTTTGTGTCTTTGAACTGACTACAAACTATAGCGACCCAATATAGAATGGCTCTCAACATTGCCTATCCTGTGCCAGCCTACCGTGCCTGTCACACCTGTCTCTGAGCCGGAAAGGAACACCAAGAGCTTGAACTGTCTCAGGTGATTTTTGTTGTTGTTGTTGTTATGATCATCTCAATTGCTTGAAGCTCTGTCACATATACATTGGATGTGTCGCCGGGAGGGATGATTCCTTGGAGAAGGACATCATGCTTGGAAGGGTAGAGGGACAGTGCAGAAGAGTAAGACCCTGGATGAGGTGGACAGGCACAGTGACTGTGGCAGTGGGGTCAGGTGTGTTGGAGATGGTGAGTGTGCTTTGCCACATGGCATTGCTTTGAGTTAGAATTGGCTCAGCAGCATCTAACAGCAGCAAGAAAACTAAGGAATATTGTGAAAGGTGATAATCACTTGCATTCCTACAGATGGACAAAATACTGTCATTCTAAACCTCTTACTTTATAACCCTGGCATCACGGTGCTGGAGAAGAGTCCTGAATATCGCGTGGACTGCCGAAAGAACAAACAAGTCTTGCTTTGGAGGTGGTCTAACTAGGGTGCTCCCTAGAGGTGAAGATGGTGAACTTCATCTCACATGGTTTGGGCATGTTGTCAGTCCCTGGAAAAAGACACAGGCGCTAGGGAAGATGGAAGGTCAGTGAAAGGAAGAACTTCAATAAGGTGGACTGACGTGGTGACAGTCACAGAGGGCTCGAGCATATCAGAGACATGAAACTAGAACAGGATAGCAGTGCAAGAAACAATAACAACAACATATGTCCTAGATAGGTATACAAATAAGCACTGAATAACACAGATTGCGCTTATGTGAAACACATACTTGGACCAAGAGACAGCCATCTGAAAAGTGCAAGGGGAACACTGCATGGTTCACAGTTGGGAAGGGTGTACACCATGAATGTGTCCTATCTCCATATCCTTTCAATCTGTATGGAGAACAGATTATCCGGGAGACTGGGCTCTAGTAGGAGAAATGTGGCATCAGGTTTGGAGGAAGACTCATCAACAATCTGCATTATGAAGATGACAAAACCCTGCTTGCTGAAACTGAGAAGGACCTGAAACGCTTGCTGCAGAAGGTCAAGGACTGTAGCCTTCAGTATGGATTGAAATTCATTATCAAGAAAACAAAGATTCTCATCACTGGGCTGATTGGTAGCATCATGATACATGGTGAAGAGATTGAGATTGTTAACAGCTTTAGTTTTCATGGCTCCACTATCAACACTCTTGCACCAGCACCCAGGAAATTAAAAGACTAGTTGCACTGGGAAAGTCTGCTACCTCTCCAAAGTACTGAAGAGCAATGATGTCAGTCTGGAGAGTAAGGTGCGCCTGATACAGGCCATGGTCTTTGCAGTCACTTGCTATGCATCAGAGAGCTGGACAATGACCAGGGAGGATAGAAAGAAAATTGATGCCTTTGAGCTGTGGTGTTGGAAAAGAGTATTAAATATACCACGGACTGCTAAGAAAACAAACAGGTTCATCCTGGAGAGGGTGAAACCTGGTTACTCCTTGATAGCAAGGAAGCTTCGTCTGACATAGTTTGGACATGTTGTAAGGAGGGACCAGTCCTTGGAGAAGGACATCATGCTTGGGAGGGTGGAGGGACAGTGCAGGAGAGGAAGATCCTTGATGAGATGGATTGATTCAGTCACTGGGGAAATTGGGGTGTGTCAGAGATAGATTGGCATAGGATAGAGCAAGGTTTAGGGCTGTTGTACATAGGGCCGCTATGAGTCACAGGTGGCTCAATGGCACATAACAACAACAACAACAACAACAGCCTAAAAGTTAGAGGTTCAGCTGTTAAGAAAAAAAGACCTGATGACCTGCTTCTATAAAGATAGCAGACAAGAAAACAATTTATTCTGTACTGCATGTACTGGCCATCAGTTGGAAGTGAATTGATGGAATCAGGTTTGGATTTTGGTGGTGGTGTGATGTTGTTCTTGTAGACCATAGAGCCAGATCCGACCCATTGCTGATCCTCTGGCAGAATTTTAGAGGCAATTAATTGCAAGGAAGAGATTCCCATCTTTCTTCCACGGAGCTGGTGGATTCAAACCATGAGCCTTTGGGATTGCAGTACAGTTTCTTACCATTAGGCCACCAGAGCTGCTTCTATAAATATTCCAGCCAAATAGTCTGTTCTGTAATACCTGAGCTTGCCATGATTTGCAAGTGAATTGAAGGGACCGGGTTGGGATTTTGGTTTTACAAATACAATAAAACTTTATTT